CGGACGGCACAGAGACGACTGTTCACTGGGATCCAATCCAGCAAAGCGCGTTCAGCTCTGGGGCTGAGTGCAACTCCCACGCCATACATTCCACGAGTCATCGCTTCTGGGTCACCAGACACACGGAGGGAGAAATGTGAAAGAGCTGGGTTAATCCTTGGCGTTCTGAGAGGCAGAACCGCGCTCGGGTCTTGTATGCGTGTTTCGGAGACACAGCATACATCAATTTTAAGGGAGTACAAGGTTTCAGCAAGCATGCCCTGTTTGCCAATTTGACATAGAGTACGGACGTTAAAAGCTCCTATATAGAAAGGATCTCGTGGATTTAGAAAGGTGTTATTTGTTTAAGGTTTTCTTTGGGGACCCTACCCGGAGCCAAATAAGTACATTTTCAAGACTGAGCGTTGTTTTTGGTGCCAGGACAGCCATACCGTCAAAGACAATCAAAATGACTCATGTTTGTCCCTCAGACACCAAATAATGCAAGCCTGAATGGTGCACCATCAAGAAGAGACTACCTTACCATGTTGTGGCCGCTTGTGCACCTCTGCAACCCACTGAACTATATTAAGGGGTATCCGTGCGACACCCTTAGAGTCTCATACCAGGTTTGGTTAGAGTTCTGACGAACCAGGTCTCCTGTATCTTTAAGCTGGGGAAGGAACATGTGTGACGACTTGTGCAAAAATTGAAATGCACCTGCGTTCCCCACCGAACAGCACTGCCTCGCGCTCGGCTTTTGAGCCAAAGGCTTTGGGTGAGGATGCTTTTCGTTGTCCCGTGTAGGTTGGGGCGTCCTAGCAGTATCCACTCATGCCACATCGACCGTTGCGTGATACCACCAGCCGGGTCACCTTACTGGGTGTATACAGCAGGCCAGGCTTTTGAGCCAAAGGCTTTGGGTGAGGATGCTTTTCGTTGTCCCGTGTAGGTTGGGGCGTCCTAGCAGTATCCACTCATGCCACATCGACCGTTGCGTGATACCACCAGCCGGGTCACCTTACTGGGTGTATACAGCAGGCCAGGTAAGAGAAAGCTGGCTACTGCTGACGCCTCCCTTTTTATTTCACTGACTTTTCTTTTCCCCTCCTCCCACTGTATTAATAGCTCTACTTATGGGCCAGTAATGGGACCGACGACCTTACTTTTCGTGCATCGTCTGCGTGTCAGCCAGTGCCAACACTCCAGGCATCCCGAAATCACCCTTCAAGCCTTGTCACCCAGTCTATCTGGTTTCGTTCAATGTCCGCACCCTGAAGCAAGCCAGACGGCAACCTGCCCTTGCCCTCGTACTATACTCGCTTGACATTAATGTGTGCTATCTCGGAAACAAGAATTGAAGATCTAAGCAGTGTGGTTGAACTAACCGCCCCATCACTCTCTAATCGCTTCCGGCTGCGCATTTCTGGTGATCCAGAGGCTGCTGTGGTGGGATATGCAGGAGTTGGTGGAAGTATCCTTGCTCGACTGGATGCTTGTTGATATTCGCCCCTGTGCGGTTCGTCTGGCAACATTTGAGAAGTAGTCATGCAAACGGCAAGTTGATCGATGTCTGTTCATGCTATCTGCTTACCGTCCGTCTACTGTAGCTCCGACGCCGTCAAAGGTTTTACGACACCCTAAATACCCTGTCGCGGCGAGCTAAAACTCAGATATTATGGTGGTTTCCGGAAATCAGAATGCAAATGTGGGCAGGCTTAGCGCCCCGGAGACTCAGTCGACCGGTTTACATTTATTGGACTCGGTGAAATGGTGAAACATTGCTTCAGCTGTGTGCTGACCACAGGCTGTGTTTATGCTGTACTAACTCCCGAAATTGCCGAAGTCGTCTGACTATATGGTGTCTTCCAACGGTGGGCCGGCTACGAACTCCGATCGATCACACTGCCTTCAGTTACTGATGGTGCGGATCAACAACTGACTGCCGCTTGTCTGTTGCTTCCGACCACGCACTCGTCCGGAGTCGCTTCTCCGTACGTTTTCCTGGGCCGCGTCAGATGCGAACAAATCGCTTGGCAACTGAGATGAACCGAGATGAACTTACCAGAACCATCTTCTGGATTCTTCCACCATCAGACGTGAACTCATACTGGGACGATATTGCCATGTCTTCGTATAGTGCTGGGAATTTCGCCTGTGGCAAAGCACCGCCTGGCACACTAAAGCACTGGATACCAGAAGGAACGATGGCATTGCTTTAGTCTCGGAGAAATATACCAGCTTGTGGCGAACATGTCTTGATGCGACGAATTCTCACATGTCACTTGAAAGTGAGCGTGCGAGCCGACCGTGAAGTTCGGTGGACACTGAAAGCCTGTAATGTCTGAATATTATTTAAGTTAATCCGTGCGACCGGCCCCCGGAAACCACATGTGAGCGAAAGCACCAGGGATGTGAATGTGGTAACCACAGGGGAATCACCTTGATCCCGGTCGTAACGAAACTGTTGGCGTCATTGATGCTTCGTCGCCTTATGGTGGATCGTGAACTACTGACTCAAGAGCACCAAGCAGGATTCCTGCCTGGTAGGGTTGCGTTGACCAAGTCTTTACATTCCGTTGTTTCAGAACCGTAGCCCATGTTGGTTAGTGTCGGCAAATCCGTAACGAGGAAATTAGAAAACGGGTTTTTGGTTGTGGACCGCGTAGTTCCGTTGAATGATGTGTCTAGCATCGTAAACTGTGTTGGTTGGGACATGTGTTTCGTATGCCGAACCATCGTTTGCCGAAGAGTGCTGTTTTCTGTGTCCAATTCAATGGCGGAAGTGAAAAGATGGCCAACCCTTGACTAGGCAGGGGGCATGAGGGAGACGGCGCTGTCAGTGCTAGCCGCCTTCCAGGATGGGGACCGTGTGATCCTCACTGCACCTGGTTGGAGACACTCCAAGATATGGCTGCCAACCGATGTCGGTGGTGTTCTTGTCAGTTTCCATCCAGATTGCCTGCATGCGTGTCTGGATGTTTAGACACCACGGAATGATTGTAGTAAGCTAGCATTAAGTCCCTCATCGCCCGCTTTTATTCTTTTCTCCACAATAACTTTTTCAAATAAATCATGGCTGTACTGCAGTGAAGCGTCGGTGATGACCACTGATATCATGTTGTTGGTGATGACGATGACGAGTTTGTGAAAAACATGTACCGCTCTTCTCTGGTGGCAGATACCCTGGACCGTTTGCACGAAGCATTGTCCTGAGTCTCTTTCGTACAATGATAGCGACAATTAGGAAGCGACTAGGAGACTCAGTAAAACCTACCAAGAACGTTCTTGAGGTTCCGTCTAGGCTGAGATCTCACTTTCTATTTGGGAGAGTTATGTATGAACAGCGTGTGAACTTCGTTATTTCAAGCTCCCTAAGCCATAACCACATACCCAAGGTTATTAACTTTGTGCTTCATTTCGGATTTTAAGGTATCTTTGTAGCGTTTGTACCATGAATCGAATATTCATAGTGATACTCAATGTTGCTGTCGGTGATCAAGTTAAGTGAATTTTTATCTGGGGCTAAATTCGGTTGCTGAATCGTGAGTTTTCACGTCACTCTGCTTCACTAGCATCCGTGCTGCATCAAACCCTGCTGTTTTAGCACAATGTTCTTATTCCTCATAAGTAGGTGCATCAGCCTCACGAGTTCAGTTGTCACTACTCTCTTTTGGCCAGCTTAGTGACAGGAAAATATTTGTTAACTTGGACCACAGCAGGTTTAGCATTAATAAAGTTCTGGGCAGATTGGTGATAGCTAAAGATGGCTTGTTCTGTATCGTCTGTATTCTGTTCCTCTGGAAGGCGCCGTGCGTCCGAGTAGGTCGTGACTTTCTGTAGTTCGGAAAGAATACTCCCAGTTCGGGAATTGGAGATGAATTTGGGGTTCCCGCCAGAATTATCCGATTCAATAAGCTGACTAACAAGTCAGTAGGGCTTGTTATAAGTTCGTCGGCCTTCTGAGGGCCGGTGGCCATGAGTTAGTCTCGTGGATCTTATAATTGCGGTCATCGCGAGTACTCATTACCCGGACTGTCGCTGGTGGGAAACACTCTTGGTCACACCGGAGTGACGCAAGTATTTATTTAGAGGTGAGCGCTATATCCACCTCACATTCATTCACGGATGATTGGAAACCAAGGTTCAGTAAACCCAAGGTTCCCACTTAATTTCGTTTTGATGGAGAAAAGAATAGATAAATCCGAATAAACTATCAAGTGAGCATAAATAAAATTGCGGGTGTGACGCCTTGTTATATACTACTTCATTTCTTAGTGTGGTAATTTTTGAAGAAGGCTCAGTTTGGGGATGAATGACTTGAAGCAAGCTAACATTCATTACGTGTTAATGAACCTAACTCAGACCGCACACGGATGAAGTGCAACGATCAGTGCAGGGAACTAATTAAAGAGTCACCTGTTAGCTAGGTTTGTTTCCTCTGATCAGACCGGTCGCTTGTCTGTTGCATTTTGAGAGACGGAGACAAGCATGAAAACTTGTGGACTTAAAAAAGGACTTTTCAACGTCAACTGTTCTCTACTGGTGACTTCTGTGGGACACTTGAATTTATGCACAATTTACCCCTATGTCGATCGGCTGCGATGTTCCACGCGTAAACCGAGTAGCAGGACATCGTTTTCATAATTGGGTGTCAAATTGCGCCTCCACTAACGTCCATTCCCCCAGGTCGATAGATTCTAACCAAGCATGTCAGTGATAGTTTTACGGTACTTGCTTTGCAACATGCGGCGACCATTGGTAATTCGGGACTGGGATTGTCTTATAGCGGTAAAAATTCAGTGGATATTTATAATTATACAGTTCCATTTGTTTCAGAAGTGAGTGGTGAATCATTGATGCTTCCCAGATACTGCAACTTCCTTGGGCATGTATCCGGTCTGGTGACTCGGTGCCGAGTATGATATTTGAGTTCCTACGCTTTAATTTACCAGAGTATTATTACTCTAACACGGAAGCATCCCATTGAAGCGCCGTCGAGGGAATGGGATGCAGGAATGATCCCCAAACTCAAAGTGGAACAACAAATCTATGAGGTGACAGTCAAGGACGAAGTGGATCACACCTTAGAGGTTCTTCTGACATCTGACGTTCCGGGTGAGTATTTGTCGTTCATATGATTCCTATTTCCAGTCTCTATGATTTTTTATCGCTATTATTTGGATAGCTATCTTCACACGAGAGAACGAACTCCTGTCCCGTTTTTATAACCACATAATCTTTTAAGAGGGAGCCCACCCTCAGTTTTGTCATCCAGACCCTCTAGACGTAACCACTACTGTGAGAATGCAGACATTTTAAAAAAGTTGTCTGGCCACCGGCCCATTCGATACAGGCACCACTATGTCTACTTGAAGCTGCAAGTACTCCACCTTATGTTAATAAACCATCTTGTGTGTCGAGCGTATGAAGGTGTTAGAGTTAAAAATTCCTGACCGTCAGGGTACTGCTCAAGCCGCCTAACGGCTGATGCAAGTAACCATACGGATTTGTCCTGGGTAGCAATCCATCAGTTTGACCTGTGCATGGCTTTGCAACTGCTGCTTCTATTGGCTCCAGTGAGGTTTTGTTCTTTGAAATAAGTTCAGACGGTTCTATATGCGAACCAGCATATAGAGGACTTCCAGTGAATTACCTCAAGAAAGGACAAAACAGTGAACGGGAAGTGGCTAAGGCCGTGGGAAAAGTGTCACAACCTTCGCCTCAGGTAATGAGATTTCAAGTGCCGGTTGGGTTTTAATGTGTTAACGTTTGTGTCTATTGCCATTGTGCGCAGATAATGACAAATGAAGTTACAATAGTATGAGGTAGCAGTCTTCGTAATTCACTACTCATAGGTTGCGGAAAATTCGTCGACAGCCTACAACCGGATTCACCTTTCTTGAGGCTCATCAGGTAGGCGCTGTCCCCGAGTTTCCGTCAACCATATGTTCTACTTGGTACTAGGTAGCAGTCTTATTTTGAAGCTGAACGTCTAATTCGAGGACTATTGGGTTGTCACATAAAACAAAGAATTCGTCGATACCTGTCACAAGGATCTTAGAAGGAATCACTCTGACCAAATCTCCAGAATGGTCCTTTTGTGGGGAGAACGGCATCAATTATTTTGTCGGTAAATGTAGATGAACAGAACTAATTGAATTGTGCTCACGGATGAAATGGTGTAAAAGCCCAAGGCGGAATAATGCCATCTCATTACCAACATCGCAGTGAAGATCGAGTAAAGTTGGCATTTATCCGGAGAGGCTTAGCGCAACCCGATAAAACGGGCGAAATGCAGCCTCAATAAGCTACTACTATGAGCAATGGAACTGTTACAGGCTAATTGCCAGGCTCTGTGAACAGATCAAGCGCATCCAGACCACCACCTTTTAAATATATTTCTTAGTCAAGCCTAGCTACCCTGTGTGACATTGTCGTCAGCTGTGTTTTGATTGGCCGAGGTCGGCAAGATAATGTTGATGGAAAGTCACTTCTACGCTATCGTAAGCACAGTGCACTAAGATGTACTTGTCACAAAGTAGGTCATTTACTTTGTTCGTCCATGCATCTGGTACCTTCTGTCATATTTTCGTGCTCTTAGCTATTGCTTTGTTCATCTCTTGTCTAAATTTCAGGTCTTGGCGCTACCGGTACTGTTGTTAAGATACATCGAAACAGGTTTTGGCTTGAAACTGCTGCTTCTATTGGCTCCAGTGAGGTTTTGTTCTTTGAAATAAGTTCAGACGGTTCTATATGCGAACCAGCATATAGAGGACTTCCAGTGAATTACCTCAAGAAAGGACAAAACAGTGAACGGGAAGTGGCTAAGGCCGTGGGAAAAGTGTCACAACCTTCGCCTCAGGTAATGAGATTTCAAGTGCCGGTTGGGTTTTAATGTGTTAACGTTTGTGTCTATTGCCATTGTGCGCAGATAATGACAAATGAAGTTACAATAGTATGAGGTAGCAGTCTTCGTAATTCACTACTCATAGGTTGCGGAAAATTCGTCGACAGCCTACAACCGGATTCACCTTTCTTGAGGCTCATCAGGTAGGCACTGTCCCCGAGTTTCCGTCAACCATATGTTCTACTTGGTACTAGGTAGCAGTCTTATTTTGAAGCTGAACGTCTAATTCGAGGACTATTGGGTTGTCACATAAAACAAAGAATTCGTCGATACCTGTCACAAGGATCTTAGAAGGAATCACTCTGACCAAATCTCCAGAATGGTCCTTTTGTGGGGAGAACGGCATCAATTATTTTGTCGGTAAATGTAGATGAACAGAACTAATTGAATTGTGCTCACGGATGAAATGGTGTAAAAGCCCAAGGCGGAATAATGCCATCTCATTACCAACATCGCAGTGAAGATCGAGTAAAGTTGGCATTTATCCGGAGAGGCTTAGCGCAACCCGATAAAACGGGCGAAATGCAGCCTCAATAAGCTACTACTATGAGCAATGGAACTGTTACAGGCTAATTGCCAGGCTCTGTGAACAGATCAAGCGCATCCAGACCACCACCTTTTAAATATATTTCTTAGTCAAGCCTAGCTACCCTGTGTGACATTGTCGTCAGCTGTGTTTTGATTGGCCGAGGTCGGCAAGATGATGTTGATGGAAAGTCACTTCTAAGCTATCGTAAGCACAGTACACTAAGATGTACTTGTCACAAAGTAGGTCATTTACTTTGTTCGTCCATGCATCTGGTACCTTCTGTCATATTTTCGTGCTCTTAGCTATTGCTTTGTTCATCTCTTGTCTAAATTTCAGGTCTTGGCGCTACCGGTACTGTTGTTAAGATACATCGAAACAGGTTTTGGCGTTATCTGTATCCTTTACAGTTGGCTGAACTACCAACGGAAGACCGAGTGAAATACTTTCACTCCCTGTCAAAGGTAAGTCCAGGTCAAACTTAGTTTAATTCACGGACCACAGAAAAGTGGACGACCCACCTTATGCGGGGATGCTTACGAGTCGGAGCAGCGTTTACGCAACATGACCCTGTACATACCAATGAATCCAGCAGTCGACTGGCAATTGAACCCAAAGCATGTAAAGATTGCTTTTCGGCGCTATGTAAGTGTATTAATACTTCACACATCCTCTTCGTTAACCAAACTACCTCCTAGGGCTTTGTGGTGGACGAAGAATCCATTACCCTACCAAGTCAGCCAGTCACTCGGAACTCTTCCGCGTCCCCGTTTACTATATCTGTGAAGGTACTTGATTGGTGTCAGTTTTGTCATATTTGGACCGAAATTTTTTCTACTTTGTCTGCTATACTTATGCAACCTACAGTAATCCAAATCTCCCACCCCAAGAAGGTATCCTTGAAGGTAGGCTTTAGAGACACCTTTTATTAGCCGTAAACGGGCCTTCCGTTTCCTCTTAATATCCAGTTTACAGGAGTTGCGGGTTACTGTAGCTATTTTCTGAATCATAGGATGTCTTCTCATTTCGAAGTGTCAGTGATCAGATTGGTTTGAATAAATGCGGTATCCCTAAATCAGTGGCGTGTGAAAAGTTATCATCCGCAGTTCCTGATTCTTCTCTTCCATCTGTTCTTCAGCGTTATCAAATAGATCGTGAAACTTATTTTTGAGTGTTCAAGTGAGAAACAATGCTACTGGAAATTCGGGAATTATGTCTACCTACAGAGCTCCACGAAAGGAGAAACTGGTAATGAACTGTCGAATGGTCTTCTTCAAGCTTACGAGTAGTGTGTAACTTGGTTCAGTGAATACAAAAACGTGTGAAGTTTAAGCATTCTTTCTAATCCTACTATATACTAGGTGTTCGTTGGGTTAAC